GGGGGGAGTGCAGATCAAAGGCCGAGGCGGCAGTGCCGATGTGTCGTTGGGGGGGGCGCGTGAGGAACGGATTCAGTTGCTAATCAGAACCAACAGGCCAATTAGGGAGGATGCAGCCACTGGAAACTCGTGGCCCCCCCCCCGATGGGGTCTGGGACCAGGAAGAGTGCTGATGGATTCCTTTGTCCATCTGTCTGTCTCTGTCTCTCTCTCGGTCACTCACTCTCTGTCCCACTCTCCCTCATTCTCTCTCTCCGTCCCTCTCCCCGTCATTCTCTCTCTCTCTCCATTCTCTCACTCTCTCCTCCTCTTTCTCCGTCCATTCATCTCCAGGGTGACGTTCCGCGGCACGAACGAGAAACAGGCTGCGGCCTCCGGGAGCGAGAACAAAGGGATCCCGTTTCAGGCTGCGTGGCTCCACAGAGAGAGCTGCCCCCCCCCCTCCCGATGCCAGACCTTGAGGGGCGGGGACACGACGCACGTTTCCCGTGGCGACCGCGCACGGCCTGAAAGCCTAGCTGGCATGACGACGAAATGACGCAAGAGACCTCGTCTGACATTTTGTTACCTTCCAGTTCTGAAAAAACGTAAGCGGGGACTGTGAGCATATCGACGACGTGTGATGTCATCATAAAGCCCTGAATTGTCCTCTTTGAGGAACAACAGGACTTAGTAGAGCGTCAGGTACAATATGAGAGATATTAGCAAAAAATACTGTCCAATACTGAGGACAAAAATTAGTCGGTAAGTATGTATGAAAATCATGTCAAAGACTTTGTTCCAATAAGAAAACAGCTCGCAAAACGGGTGGTTGGATGCACGTGTGACCCACTGCAAGTCACCCCTGCCATCCAAATAATAACCTAATAACTTAATGCTGGAATAAGTTGTCAGCACTAGTGAGTAGAGTAACCAAGGGCCAATTATGGCCAAAATCACGAAAAGGATGGAGTGGACAGTCGTTGGAGGTATCAAACTGTGTTGTCTGTGACGTGCGAGTAAGAAGCGTCACTAAAAATTTATGAAAATGGGGGCTTAGACATTACTGGGTGGTCTGATTTTACATTTGCACCCGACACTTTTATTCAAAGTGCCATATAGTATAGGCAAGTGTTACAATTTGCGTGGGCTCCCTGGGATTTGAACCTACGACCTATGCATTGTTAGCAAATACTTTACTTGTTGAGCATTTAATAGACATGAATGGGAACTCGCTATTTAAATTAATTAGTGTAAATTTATTTGGTGGGGGGTGGTCAGAGAACATTTTGAAGGGTGAACTAAGAGCCCCCCCTTTAAACAGCCCTAGCGATGTCCAAGGTTTGAGTTATGACATAGTGACAGGGTGTTCCGTGTTAAACAGCGTCCGGGACCCTTCAGGGGCTTGTGAGTAAGCACTATGGAATGATTGCCGCACCCGCGTGTTAGGACCGGTGCGGGACGTCTCACTTACCAGCCCATGGAAGGGGGGATCTGGCCCACACCACCCGGGGGCAGGGAGTAGAATCCTGACAGGTCCTGGGACTGGTGCCGGTGGATTCCTGCAGAACCGCAGCGGAAAGAGGCTTTAATGAAAAGGAGTCATCACTTGTCCAGGAACCTACCATTATGGGGGGCAATATCAGGGGCTGCCCCCCCCCCCCCCCCCCGGCCAAACAGGTACAAGTGGGCAGGTCCAGTGTGTCTGAGCTGGACAGGACAAAGGACCAAGAACACACTAGCGTGGTACAGGAATTCAGCAGGCAGATTTAATTTCATACTTCAGATTACACATCTCAGATTTTTATCACCGTCGAGAGCCGTGACAGTAGCTTAACACACTTGTCCTGTCTCACGTGTCAAATCCTTTAAATAATTAAGGTAACTTTCTATAATTGTGTCACTGCCTTGGTAACAAAAAAAAAAACACAGGGAAAATTAGCAAATATTTAGCTGCATAATTACGGTAATTTCCATATTAATCTGGGCAAAAAAAAAACTACCGTAAGACTTCAGGAGACTTTCAGTAACTCTGTTTACATTAAACACCCAATTTATCAAACGGTGGTAAAAAGTGAAATACAGGAAGAACTGGGGCACCATGGGAAACACGCTGCCTTCCACATCACCCAACCAGTGCCACAGAAACATTGCCGTTTTCTTGCTATCCATTTTGGGTTCTAGGTTTCTGTACCGCCAGTCAGGGGCTCCTTGAGACCCTGCAGCATCATGGGATTGCAATCGTGCCCAAAACTCCCCAGCTACCGTGACAGAGCTGCTCCTTTTGGCCGGAGGGGTTCGACGACTCTGACAGGAAGTCATTTGTCAGTCCTGAGCACCTACCACTTAAACGAGTAGAAGAGACCCTGTGTTTTTGTTAAAGAATGTGCCAGATAACTATCATTTGCAGTAGCTGCAGGGCTGTCTGGGACTCCTACCATCTACTGAGATCTTTAACTGGGAAGATTCTGAGTCAGCTGCCTTTGAACCTGGCCTACATCCTTTATCCCCGAAAGTCCGCTTTCCACATCAAGACACCAGGGCGTCTCTCACAGGCCACTGAACTCCTCCTCCTGGCAAAAAGCCAGTGGTAAAGGCAGCCTACAGTGGAGCTGTACAGTGAACTCAGATTTATAGGGGTTTGATCGCAAAACAAAATAGAAAAACAAACAACTCCAGAAGCCTAGCTTGGCAGCAAAATAAAAACAAACACCGTTCGATTCCATTTACACGTTTGACAGATAATGTGGAATTTCCACACTAATCGGCTATGACTAATTTACTGCAGACAATAAAAACGAGTGAATAAATAAACAAAAATTTTGAAAAAAAACTTCCATCTTCTTACTTTAAATAATCTTTATTGTCCATGAAGCCCAAGGTGCGAAAATTCAGCCATTGAGCACGGAGTAGATTTCATGAACGAACCCAGCACTCTAGCTATAGACCGAAAACAACTTAACCTGAACTCACTCCATTCAGCAATGCTTTGAAAGCAGCTATTAATACATACATCGTTTTACTCATTGAATGGTAGCTTACGGTATCACAATGCGTAACTGTTTTGACAGACACAGTGCACAATGCGGGAAAACAGGAGATGTTAATATTGCAGAAAGCGAAACCCAGAGTGAGGATCTGAATGACTGGGTCTGACCCTGTACTGTACATTAAATGGCGTCCCTCTGAAAGTTTCCGTCGCGTACAGTGCTGCTAACTATGCTGCCCACTACCCATGGCGTCTGCAGCCTCTACGGCATCTGTAGCCTCTGCCTCTGCGACGTCTGCAGGCACTACCTCTGGTCTGCAGCCTCTGCCTCTGCACCTTCTGCCTCTGAGGCATCTGTAGCCTCTGCCTCGGCGACGTCTGCAGGCACCTCTGGTCTGCAGCCTATGCAACGTCTGCAGCCTCGGCATCTGCGCCCTCTGCGGCATATGTAGCCTCTGCCTCTGCGACGTCTGCAGGCACTACCTCTGGTCTGCAGCCTCTGCATCTGCACCCTCTGCCTCTGAGGCATCTGTAGCCTCTGCCTCTGTGACGTCTGCAGGCACTACCTCTGGTCTGCAGCCTCTGCACCCTCTGCCTCTGAGGCATCTGTAGCCTCTGCGACGTCTGCAGGCACTACCTTTGGTCTGTAGCCCCTGCCTCTGAGGTGTCTGCAAGGTCTATGGCTTCCCGACTCCCCCCACTGGCCCCACACGTGCTGCCAAGTGTTCGTTTTATGCAGACTAGCAAAGCCTGACTGACAGAGGATGAGCCCCCCCCCCCCACATAAAGTAACACATCTTAATGAGAGGGCACATAGACGTACACAGACACACGTATGCGCTGACAGAGCCCCCTTCATTACCAGTGAGTCAGTGCACTCTGCGTCTATTACAACAGCAGAGTCTAGACACAGCACCACAGCTGGGGAATTCCAGCCACGAATTTCATCTGGACCAGAGAGGGAACCCTGAGTCACTCCCGTGGCGGCAAGGAGCTGTAGCCGAGCGAAAATGACGATACGGAGGAACGCTGCTCTGCTACCAGCGCGGCCTACAAACCCCCAGTGATGAGTCACCTTCTTCGGTCAGCTTTTATTTACCAAACGGCTGGAAACCACGCGGCCAAACACACACTGTCAAACGGTGTGGAAATGAGGTAATGACAGTCATTATTAAAGTGATTTACAGTAAAAATACGGCGCCCGTCAAATCATCACAAGCCAAGCCGCCACGCGACGCACCGTTTGAATGGGTCCTTAAATGTCTAGCTCCCCCCCCCCCCGCCAGCGGCCTGCGTGCGCGGCACATGTGGCATGTATGAGCCTTAAGCAGAACCTCATGAACTACAGAGATGGTTCTATGTGATTGTCACCCTAATTGCTTCCAGCTCTGTAAGGGGGGGGGGTATATGTTGGTCACCCACCCCCCCCCCCCATGGCGTCCAGACCACTTCAAGGATAGGAGGAGTGTGTGTGTGTGTGTGTGGAGGTGGAGGGGGTGTTCCTGGGGGGGAAACCCCCTCAGTGCCCCCACCAGGGTGGCGTCCTGCTGTCTTTCCCCAGTCATGGTGGCCCCACTGTTGGGGAGGTGAGCAGAGGTATCCAGTGTGGGTGGGCATCAGTGGTGGGTTGCATGGGGAGGGGTTGCGTGACCGGGGGCTGTACACCATTCTGTCAACACTCCCTGGTGACTGAACTCGCAAAATGGAGCCAGAGTAGAGTCTACTGAAGAAGCGGAGCGCATCCGAATGGAGACGAAGTTCTGCCTCATTCTGATTGGACGGAACGCGGTGGCTCGTATACACCATTCTGTTGTACCTCGTTATATTCCTTGTAATTGGGTGCCAACATCGACTGGGCTGCTCAAAACAAAAAAAAACAAGCAACAAAGAGCACAAACCTGGAGGGGGGGGGGTGGTGGGCAACGAGGTTTGAGAGGATCTCAACATTAGGGACTTTAATGGTCCTCTCGCAATAGAAAATTACAGGCCCTTGAGCCAAAAAAGGGCCACAGTGCCCCAAGGAAACAGTTACCTAGGATACGAGACCTTCCAGAACTCGGGAGACATACCTGGCTTCTGGTTGATGTCTGCCGGCAGGTGGGCGGGGCTGGGGTTGAGGTGGTCGTTGCTGTAAGGCAGTAGTGGGGTGAGGGGGTGCATGCCGTGGGACTGTTGGACCACAGATACTTTGTTGGACTACGAGAGAGAGAGAGAGAGAGAGAGAGATGGCAGATCACTATAGAGGAGTGAGTGCGGTTGATCAACGACGACTTTGAAGACTAGGGGCAATGAGAGACTGGCAATGCTTACGACTAGGTCTCCATACGTGATGCTGAATCTTCTGTCTGAGGACAGCAGATCACTCTTTGGAACTAGAACATCCTGGTAATTACCGAGCTGGTGGCATTTACGTATCCTCAACATAGCCCTCTACGAATCCTCGACACCGGTTCAGAAATACCAGCAGAGCCGCATTTCATACCGCGCTGCTTCCTACCTTGTTCACAAGTTTTCCCTCCCAATGAAGCAGTGCTTAGGTGAATCGAAACGTCATTGTAACACAAAAATATGAAAGGGAATCGACATTCCCATGACCTGTAAAGAGCCCTCATATGGAGTCTTCACCATCAGCCCAGATATTCTTTCCCATCCGGCAATACAGCTACCCGCCATTTTATACTAATACGTATGTTTCTTCTCTGCTGGATACAATCAACGGCTCTTGAAGTGGTTGCTCATGTGTATTTTCTTTATACCGGCTTGCAGCGATTGAATGAGGATACTCATTTAACATATAATTACGACTCTCCCTCTAATTAACACCCTCTCCCCATGACATTATATAATTGCATTTCGGTAATTTTAAGACGCACACGGGGGGCAGGTGTGCACGTGCCCCCGGACTTGCCTCTGTCTTACGGCTGCGTTTTCAGTTAGATATGCTTCAAAGACAAGTCCCAATACGATATTACGGCTTTTAAAGTAAGCCACTGTTTGTCGAATTGGATTTAAAAGGAAATCTATTAGCATATTGTCAATCCCTTTTATCTCACGTCTGTTTGAACAAGGACGAAACATCAGATAAAAGACTTAACGGTGTTTGAAAAACCACAATGGCTTTGCGGCCCTGTCCGATAGAAGACACGCTGACCACTTTTGCTGTGGGTTCATCACCCGCGCTGATAAAACACTTTAGTTATAATGTATTCTTTGGTTTTCAAAATATAAGTAGATTTTTGTGGCGGAAATTAGACGTCCTTTTTAGAATATACAAAGTGCTTTGAATGCAGTCTTTAATCTCCGAATGAATCGTTGTTAAATTAAGCATATTTAGTTGATTATCTCACTTTGGTTCATTATTGGGAACAGAGTGACGTACGACTTTCACGGGCTCTATGGTGTTGTACAATTCCTTGTTTTAAACGGTTTTCCATAAAGAAAGTCTCAGATCTAGATTTTACGGTAAATGGGTTTTACCAAAGCGTGGCTCGTCGTGTTTTGATCGTGACGACGGGCGACATTCCAGTTTGGCAGAAATGAAAGGTGAATTTAATTATTTTAAAAAAGGAAAGGAAATGGTTTTGTCATGGCTGCTGCTCTGAATTACGAATCACGAAAGCAGTAGGTCTTTTTCTTATGAATTTGTGAAAGGATTCAACTTCTTGCTTGCCTGTCACAGACTGACAGGATGTTGCAATGATCTTCATATATGAATAACTTCTGTCCTTGGTTGTGTGGCATATACAGATCTGTTGGTAACAATAAAAAAAAGCAACTCAAATCCGACTTCAGGACACAAAAGACATTGGCTGTAAAGGACTTCAGGCTCTCCCGTGTTGTCAAATCTGAAATCATATATGAAGACACAGGTAGACTGATCTTTCATATCACCATACATCTATAAAATCTGAAATATATTAATTACCAAGTAGTTTGTGTCTTTTAGCATATGTAAACTGGATCGGGCTTGAGCTAATAATTCTCAGCTCAGGCGACAACCCACCGGAAAACAGGAAGTCAATTCAACGACACACCGCTTTGCACTTCAGTCTCTTAATAATATTCTGTATAGGCCTATCAATCTCGCATCCAACTCTGATGGCACCACACAAATGATTTCGGAAATTCCACAATTGTGAAACTAAAACCACGGATAGGCCTACATTGTGGATTGGTAGCTGGACAGAAATCTGCTATTCTACATATTCTACACTTGTCCAGTCTGCAGTAACAGTAAATGTTCACATATGATGTGCTTCGCTCTCCCATGTCTCCGATCGCAACTGGCGACACGCAGTGTTAGCAAACTCATTCGGTACCGGGCGATTACTATTTATTGTTGAATTAATTTCAGAATCAGAATTTCGGTATTAATCCCTGTGGGGGAAAATTGAGCTCATGTGACGGTTTCTTGTAGAGTACTTCTCTGCGATCAGCAGAATTGTCTGGAATGCATTTTTTTTCAAGTTTGTCACATTCAGCTGAGTTATTCCGCTTTCACATCCTTTCATGTTTACGTTCAAAAAACTTTGTCGGTGGTGCCTTTGCTAGCAGGATGTGGGATTATTGTTTACATTATACTTGAAGGAATACATTATGAAAGTCTACATTTAAGTACTCTAAACTGCAACCGCATTATCAAGCAGTAAAAGACATAAAATTCCTCAAATGTAATATTCATTGAAAAAAATTTGTTTCGTTATTCCTAACTTAAAGAAATGGTCAGAGAAGCAGCGCTTGGTTCTCGCGACTGTTGTTCCTTTGTTGATCCTTCACATACCGTTGTTTTCTCCCCACATTCCTGCATTAGCTTTTTTAAAAAACGAAACTTTAAAGCCATTCTCCACACGATTTGTTCAATTCTCAGTGGGACTTTTATGAAACTACCAGCTACCCACTTATGATCCCTCCACCAGGAAGTGAAACAAACCATTTAATGAAACAAGCATATGTATTAGAAAAGCGTAAGGATGTGACAAGTGGATAGGGGCATGTCTGCAGTCCAGGCAGTAACAGGGGAGACGGTGTCCAGGTGCATGTCCTGCCTATTCGAGTCACGCTCAAACCCCCCCCCTCAGATCTGTATTAAAACGAAGATCCCCTCAGCAGCACATGTGGAGAGCTGCAAGTCTGACCAGGCAAGGATCTGAACCCACACCCCCTTTTCGGCTTAATGCCTCACTCTGTGGTGTGGTTTTAGAATCAGTCTCTGTGGGATGAGCTCCGCACTTAGCTTTCGGCACTACCCACACGTTTCGGGGGCGGGGGGGGGGGGGGGCAGAGACTGGGCCGAAGAAACCCAAAACTGAGAAATATGGGTTATAATCTCCTTTCTATTTTTAAATATATTTTTTTTTCCAATTTTACCTGGCTGCTTTCACAACGCCTTTGATCAAATAATTTAAAATCAAAAAGGGGACGGGAATCAATTTATACACGCTCTGTATGACTGTATTGAAGACTACCAGTAACTAAGAGTGAGACGACCTTCTTGCTCGATTGGAAATGAAAAGCATTTAATTTCCAGATATAATCCAGATGTTTTGAATGTGTGCGTGCATGCTCGGGGGTGGGGGGGGGGCATGCACGCACACGTAACAACGCACATCGTTGGGCGCAGGATGACCATTGCCGGTCTCCACTCATACGGCGGCCCCCGTCATCACCGCTCCCAGTCATAACAAACTGGCCCAATAAGACCTGTGGGCGCAATCTGGAAACCATTCGGCTCATCCAAGGTTAAAATAATGAATGTTACTTAGTGTGGGGGGTGGGATTGACGGACTTCAAAGTAAAACCAGACATAACGCAGGCATTGGTAAATGATGCCTTTGAAACTGTCCCCCAACCCCCCATCGCCCTGCAACACACAATATCGCCAACTCACAACATTTCTGTTCACATTAAAGGAAATGGGTAACACCGCTGACGACCTGGCCCGGACCACGTGGATGCTGACCGCACAAGGAGCACAAGGAGTTTTCCCCTCGCTGGCAAAAGAGGAGAAGGGGCGTGGCAAATACCTTTTTGTTTAGCGCTGACAGACAACTCCTGCGATTACAGGAGCGAAAATCACTTTTGTTTTGTTTAACAGCATAAGCGTTTCATCGAAGTACGCCACTTTGAATGTTTGCCCAAGATGCCAGAAAGCACATCCACGTCCCTTGACATGCAGTGTACAGGTTACGTTTCACCGTTTATGTTTAAAAAAAAAAGAAAGAAAAAAAAACACGCCGTGCATCCCCTTGAAATAGAAAACCACCAAGAAAATTTCTTAGAGATCCCCTTAAATCTATTTCTCCTTCAACAATGGTAAATTTCCAATAAATGTTGACTAAATTAAAAAAATGAAAACGCATTATTCAAATCATACTGAAACCAGCAGAGCGCCGCTTCGCGGACTCGTGGCACTCGCCGCTTTCTGAAACCCGCGCCAGTGCCAAAATGGGAAACACCTCTTCTTTCCATTCCAAGTTAACAAATACCGCCACTTTTATTTATTTGCTTATTTATTGGCACGTCACTTTTTATTTAAAAAAAAATAATAATAAAATTCTTCAAAAGATTCTTCTGGTCCAGAGAAGCTGATATCTCCGCACGTCCCACAAAGTGATTAGTGGGACAGCGTGGATAAAACAGGCCTCCAATGGATAAAGACAGACCTGCATAGAACACCACCCACTGATGATGTAAATACCCCCCCCCCCCCCTCACATTTGAATGATCAGGACTGACGGCATTCTCCTTCCGCTAGGGCCAATCAAGGTCATCGCGCGAGGTAGCAGGTCTTAAAATGAAGAGACACTTTTCCTTAAAGAAGTAAAACTGCAACTTGTGGAAGGATTTTCAAAGTCACTAGGACACAGCGGCCTGCCCCTCCCTCATCCACCCCGAGTCCCAGCCCGAGTCCCAGCCAGTAACATATCGAACACACCTTGCCAGTACAGCCACGCAGCGTGATGATAATTACGGCATCTCGTCAGCAGATGAAAGGGGAACCTGGAGCTGCTGGTGGTAATGTGTCTTTCTGCCTTTTTTGTTTTTTTTTTTGCAATGCACACCTTTGTGAAGTGAAACAATAAATCACCCAAAGACAGCCCATTTAAAGATGAGGCCACGCCCCCAGCTGCCTGCCAGCTCTACGGCAATCCGCTGCCTTTGATTCTCACCTCCCAAGGGGATCTCTCTTTCGGGAG